TTTACGTGAAAAGCTGTAGATGCTTCCTTATGCACAGCCACTTGAGCTCTGATTAGCAAATCTTTGGATTAGTGATAGCTTGATTTCAAGTAGCTTGAAGTTATCATCAGCCTCAAGGCAAATCTTGCCAACAGATCTGATATATTTCCTCGGGTTTTCCTGGCCCATCTTCCAGCAGTTGTCAGACTTCTCACCTTCATTTTCAAGAGTGAAAATGGCTTTGTCAGGCTCAGGGATTACAACCATGAGTGAATCAGATGGCCATTCATCACTGCTCTATAGGTCTTTAATTTGATCTAGAACTTGAAATGAGAGTCAAGACATCAGCAGTTCTCCCAGGGCAGAAACCAGTAGATGAATGTCATAAGTGAAGGTGTGGTCACTGAGGGGGGATAAGCAACGCCAGTACTGATCTATGTGGCCTCTCTTATTTGCATTCCTTTACCTATGACTCAAAGAGATGTGATAGAAATTTATCCATCTCATGAGCCCACTTCATATTTTTTGAAGAGTTTTGAAATGCTTAGCTGAGCATAGTAACTCACACCTGTAATCTCAGCATTTAGGAGGCTGAAGCAAGAGGATCGCTGTGGGTTTGAGGCCACCCTGGGCTACTTAGTGAGTTCCAGGACAGAATGGGCTACACTTGTTTATTTAAAAAAGTGTTTTGAAATGCTCACATAGAAAACACTGACTGGGCTATAGAAATATGATTACTATATGAATTATAAGCATGAATGAAAATTCCAGCTTCTGAAACACTCAACCATTCCTCATTGGTGTAGAAACATTTTAATTAAATATGACATTTATTATCAAAGTTAAATATGAATGTCAAGTAATTGTTAACGAACATGGAAGATATAAGAATCTATAAGATAGTTCTGGTTCTCAGCAAGCTTATGACCTAGAAAGGAAGAAAAGAGAAAATCACACAAAGAATTAGAATAACAAGAGATGTCAAAAAGCAATCTATCATTAATTGTCACCTGAAATGTGACTATTGTAGTTCAGAGGCAGATCATTTTCAGAAACAGCAGGCAGGGAAGACAGCCAGAGGAGCTAGATTCCGGGCAAATCTGGAAGGTAATCCAGGGACTAAAGAAGGAGAGGACTCTTGGTTAAAGAACCCACCGAGGCAAGAGTACTTACCAGCTATGGAAAAAGAATAGATCCAAAAAAAGGAAAGCAATACAGAACTTCAAGTGATGGGGACATGGGGCTTCCTGGTATGATATAGTGATGAAAGGGTCATTTGGAACACTGCTGAGGAGGGCTTTGACTATCAAGTTGAGGACTTAAGTTTCTGAACTGAAAAGCATCTTGGTCACGGCAGCAGTTTAAAACTATCAGCTAGGCTTTGCTGTGTAAAATTAGGCAATACCCATTTTCCTTTTCCTTTTTTCAAACCCAGGGCCTTGTGTATACTAGGTAAGTGCTCTACAGCTAAGCTAGACCCCCCCACACCGGGATCTGAGATTAAGTGGAATAAGGAGACAGTGACAGGGAGGACACGTGGAACACTAAGTCCGGGTGTAGGGTGAAGGTTGTGGGCTAGGAAAAGAAGTGGGGTGGGAAATCTAAGGAAGGAGCCCACCATCTTCCAAGCATGCTGATTAGCATTATCATTAGAACTTTCTGCTACTTTTTTAAGTGTTATTAAACCTGTGGGTTCTTAAGGATTCGTTCACTTTGAGTTGCAGGTAGGGAATGAGAAAATGAAGGGGTTATATTCATTTTGCAACATCTGATACCTGTTCAAGTTGATGCTAAGTTTGAATATGGTTGATTTCCACCAACTCATATGGAGATTGCTAAAGTGATGACTGAGAGATGGTAGAGGCTTTCAGAGGTGGCTGGAGTCATGGGAACTCTGTCCTCATGCAGTGTTAAAGTGGTTACCACAAGAGTGGGCTAGTTATCTGGAGAATGGGTTGTTACAGAGCAAGGTAACCATCATGCTTTCTTTTCTGCATGTGCTCCAGCCACGTGATGCCATCTGTCCTGTTGCGACACATCATGAGACTCTCACCAGATGCAGCTGCCTGATCTTAACATTCCCAACCTTCAGAGCTGTGAGCCAAAATAAACCTCTTCATACTTTATCCAGTTTCATGCATCCTGTTATAGCAACAGAAAACAGATTAAGGCAATTGCTATGTTGAACTTTTTCTTAATATTGTACCTTTAAAATTCTTTTTAAAAATTAAGTCTCCATGAAATGCAGAAATAAAAAGAGATTTGAGATCTATTTTCAACTCTAGTTGAAGCTGGACTATTCAAACTCACCTGTCAGGACAACTGAAGAAAGTCCCCAAGAATTTTTTAGATTTCTCTCTGTTTGTAGCCTTCTACTAGAGCCCCTGATAGAAAAACCTTTTGGTTTTGAACATTTATACTTTAATGTATTTATTCCACAGAAATTGAGATGACATTTGACGCAACTTTGATGAAAATTCAGAGAACCTTGATGTAACTCCATATGGTCAGGGGGAAAGTTTCAAGAGTCTTTCAACAATTCCAGCATTGGGGCCCTACTGCCTGGTGTGTCCATACACATAACCATACCCTAAGGATACTGATCCCATCTTCTGTCCCGAACAGAGCAGTTTTAACCATATTGCTCCCAGAAATGCAATGCCCTGGGGACACTTGAAGTTGGCCCAGTCCAATCCCGTAACATTATTTGACAGATGGTGTAGTATACAAATCCTCTTTCCCACATTCCCCCACCCCCACCCCAGCACTCAGAGCCCCTTTTCTGGGCAACCCCAATGTCAACTCTTTCTAATACCATGGCTAATTTCAGATTGCCCCTTGAGTTACTTCATCCTACCTCAAAAGAACCTGAGGGAGGATGGGGAGACCTAGGCTTGGAGAGACTGAGGTGACTAGAGGTGCTGTCTCCTTCCCTCTATGTAGCTCCCGTTCCCAGATTCTCAAAACTCCCCACGTTGGCAGAACTAAAGCTTGATAAGTCCAGGGTAGGGGTGAATAAACAAATAAAACACTCCCCACTTGTAATATTTTGATGGTCAAGTTTGGGGTTAAAACACATTCATGTGTTTGGGTGTTTGGCGTTATAAACGGGGTATGCTTTACTCTTCGCTCTGGACAGGGACAGCTGTAGAAGTCAGTCTCTCTACAAGATTGGAATATGAACTTGGCACACATGTTGGTTTTCCTTCCATTTGTTGTTCTTTTTATTCCAATGCAAGAAAGTCCTGTGAGAACTATCTAACATTACATAACACTACCATGCACCCTTTTGTGACAATTAGAAACCGTTTGTTTCTCAAGAACTTAATTGTAGAGTTCTTTTTGAATGCCTCAGGTGAGGCGCTCCCCAGGAGCAAATTAGACCAGAGGATTCCAGTCCTGAGGGCCATCCTTACCACTTACAGCTAAGCTAGCCACTCTCCTTTCAAACAAATTCATTTGCCTATGGAAGGGGGAAAAAGTGATAAAGCTTTAAATGCTTTCAGGTTTAATTCCCTTGGAGATTAATATATATTCTTTCTTTCTTTCTTTCTTTCTTTCTTTCTTTCTTTCTTTCTTTTCTTATGTGGCTTTTTGCTACTCTAACGTTCCCCCCTCTGAAGAGGTAACCCTAAAATCTTCAGAGCTAATCCCACAGTTTTGAAAATTTGGGAACTTGGGTAAAGGAGAAAACCACCACCCTTACTAAGAAATCTGAAATCTCAGTTCATGATGTCAAACAAAAATGATAGTATTTTCTTGTTTGTGTTGACCCAGCTCAGATTATGAAATCCTAGAGTAATAAAATGCCAAATGCCTGTGTTAATAACGGGGTCAAAAAGTCTGAAGTGTCATTGGGTGTGTTCTTCGGAGGCGTGTCGTTTACTCCTGGAGGGTAAGGTTTGTTCTCCTAAACCTCTTGCTCATACTGGGAACATGTCTTTGCAGCATTTTCCTTAGTTAGGAGGTTGGGGGGGCGGGGGCGGGGGGGCAGCAAGGAAGAGGGAGGAAGGGAAGGAGGGAGGGAGGAAGACAGAGAGGGAGAGGGAGAGAGAGATCCACACCAAAAAATAACAGCCCCAGAGAGTCTCCATGCCTGGTTTGCTCCAGCAACCTGCCTGGCTGGAAAGTTTCCTCTAACCACTAACACCCACTTCCCATTACCCCACGCTGTCAGGCTGGCCAGGTCTCCTCTTGACAGGGAAGGGTCAGCCTGTTGGATGGCAAAGCCTACGCCACAGCCACCTCCAACCCCAGCCGACAGGCTGCCCGAAGCGCTCTGGCGCCTCGAGAACACCGAGGTCCCCTCCTTGCTGCAGGGACCTGGCGCACCGGAGGTAGAGAAGTGCGGGGGCTCGGAAAGGAAGGAGGGAAGCTAGGGAGGGAGTCGAGCGCGAGAGGCAAAAGGAGAGCGCGAGGAGGCGAGATGCAAGGGCAAGTGGGGACCACAGGAGGAAGCGGAGACGCTGGGGGCAGCCGGACGCCGAGTGGGGCGCAGGGGACCGGGCTCTGGAACTAGCCGGCACAGGAAGGGGCACGCTCGCCGCAGCCGGCGGGTGCCAGGGAGGCGCAGACTCCGCAGTGTGTGCCGGACTCTCCCGAGCCGCTGGATCGCGGGTAGGAGGGGGTGCCTGGTGTCG